TGCTTGCTTGTTCATATTTTATGCATGAATGAAGTTTATAATTAGTAAAATATATACGATTCAAATAAATATATAAGGTAACTATCGTTTTATTCATAAATTTATTTATTTATTTATAAATACAATAAACAGTAGAAAATGAAAATAAAAGGTACAAAATGAATATATTTATTTAATATGTGTATGAATTTGTAAATTTTTTCTATTATTTTTTTATTAAAATATAATTTTTATTTTTTATTTTATTGTTTTGACTGTTTCACAATGTCGTACCTGTTTAGAACAATTAAATATTTTTCTCCTTACACGTTGTAGCCCTGGCAAGTGTGCCCGTTTATAGTTGTTACTTGATGGTTGGGCACATTAATTTCTGTGGGCAATAAACAAAAAAGTGAACACTTTTGCAGCAAGTTCAACTACAAATATGTAGGGATATAATTTTTGCAGCACGAAATTAAATAGCAGAAACAATATGGAGCGCTTCGCTTTCAAGATTGATGCGGCTCTCAAAGCAAACTTGTACAAGATCTGTCGTTTGTGCGGCATCGATAATCCGACCAAGGTGCCAATACTACCCGTTGAGAGTGATGTTGTGGACCTGGACGAGCCCAGCCTGAGCCAAAAAGTTTTCGAATTGGTTGGCTTTACGGTAAAAACATCTACCCATTTACTGAAAATATGTGATCTGGTAAAAAAAATCCCTCATTTGCAGGTTACGCGCAACGATAAAATGCCGCAGACAATGTGCAGCCTGTGCGTGGATAAAATCAATGATTTTTATGAGTTTAGAGAAATGTGCTACGCAACAAACAATCAAACTCGAAAGCTACTGGGCCTTAAAAGTGTGGATCCCCAAAAGGTAAACATCAGTATTAAATCATAAAGAAATTGAGGTATTTACAAACCATATTCCATTCACAGATTGTAGATGTGAAGCCGATATTTAAAAGCGAGCCGTTAACAGCAGCCACACCTGCAAAGCGCGGGCGTAAACGTAAAACGGAGGACGCCGCCAGTAGCAGCAACAGCGTCAAATCAAATACCCCTGATATCCCTTTGGATGCTGTAAAAAATGAGCCACTAAGCTGTCGGAAAAAGCTGCGCTTGCAGCCACAGCCACAGCCGTTGACTGCGAGCAAAACTGAAATGTAAGTGCATTGGTAAAATAAAAGAATGCTAATATACTAATTGTTTGAAATACAGAAAGGAGGAGCCTGCTGAGGTGAAAAAGTGTTCAATACCCGCCAAGAAGTCTCGTAAGGCCATTTGCAGTGTGTGCAGCAAACGTTTCGAGAGCAAGGAGCTGGCCGAGCAGCATAAGACAGCAGTACATATACCCACAATATTGCGCTATCATTGTACCGCCTGCAATCAGAGTTATCACAGTCTTAGCGATATCAAAGCTCATCAGCTGTGGCACAAGCTCTCTAAGACACCTTACCAGTGCCCACTGTGCGACGCAAGCATAGCAAACAACTATGCCTACTCTCGTCATCTGCGCGAGCATACATCACCCACGCCCATCGAGCTGCAGGTGCTAGATCGCGAGTGTCCACTGTGCAAGAAAACGTTTCTAACGAATTTCTTTTACAATACACATCCCTGTGCCCGGCGCACGCGCCAATGTGGTGGGTGCAGCCGGCCGCTCAGCAGTGAATTTGCCTACATGCGCCATGCACCACACTGTGCAAAAATTTACTTGAATCACTCCAAGCACATAATGCCTGAGGCAGCTAATCATGAAGCCGAGATGCGTATCAAGAACGAAAACGATTTGGAAGCCGAAGACAATGCGCAATCGTCCATCGCATACACAAAGCAAGTTGAAATGCAGCCAGTGGTTGTGCTCGAACGCTTGGGATCACCACTATTGCGCGCTTCATCCGCGGGTCGTAGCGCTGACCGGGTGTCATCCAAAAATTATTTGAAACGCGTCGATCAGTTGCTTAAGAATACAATGAACACGCTTGTTAGCATTAAGCACGAGCCCGAGGTTCACATCGATGACACTGGACCACCTCTGGCCTTTGAAGAGCCTGAGAGCGACCCAAATGATGAGCCGCCTTCTTGTGATGATTTCCATGCAGATGCTGGCTACGATGACAGCGACGAGGATGCAGCCAATGGCACTGCCAATGCAGCAGCTGTTCCCCCAGCTGATCCGCCAGCTAAGTCTGTGAAGCAGGAAGTCATTGATGAATCCTACGAGAAGCAGCTAATGCCCAGCACGGATGGCGTGCAAGTCAAACAAGAGCCACTAAAGCTGAAGCTGAAAATAACCAAAAATCATGGGCAGCTCAATTCATCTATCGTGGATGATGACAACGAGGTGCAGTCTAAGAGCGCTAAAAAGAAAAAGAAACGAAAGCATAAGGAGCGCAATAAGGATTCGGAGGCTAGTGATAAAGCAACGGCATCGGCCACAACTCCTGAGGAATCTCCAATCGAGGAAAGCGTAGAGACTGCAGGTAGTGCTATTATGAATATAAAGCAGGAACTCTTGGATGACAGCCTTGCAAGTGATTTTGCGCCACGAGAAGAGTTCGAGCCACAATCTACGGTCATGACGAGTATACCAATGCTACAGCTTGAGCGTAACTATACCGAGGAAAGCCAAAAGTTACCCGAAGAGCAAGAAGATGTTAAGCCGAATCGATTGGAACTCGATCGCATAATGCAAATAACTCATATAGCTAGCGGTGTGGCAATGGCAGAGGAGGCAGTGCCACTAGAGAGCGCCGTGGAAGCAGTGCCCCAAGAGGACCATGTCGTGGAAAGGCCAGCAAATCCCACCAAGAAGATTGCAACAAAATCTACGGCACGTAAAAGCACCGGAGGCGCCATGCACCGGGATGTTGCATCTTCGTCAAGTTCACTGCCAGCCACAATAGAGCAGTTACCACAAATTGTGGCAGTGGAAAGTGGCGCCTCGGTGCCTTTCAATACAGTTGCTATCAAACCGGAACCACTGAATCGCGGCTATGCGGATGAGGAACAGGAGTGGACCGGCCAAAATGAAACGGAAGTAGAACAACATGAGCCAAACAAATCCAATGAGATAAACCACAATGACAGCAGAGACGATGAGTCGGCATATATAAACAGTCTAGACTTAAGTAATGTGATTATTAAGCAGGAGAAGGACTTGCATATCTCAGATGTCAATATCAATGGCAGTGAAGCTGACAACACGCATTACAATGGCTTGCACGAGAGTGAGGATAGTGCAGAAGACGAAAACGTCGATGGGGATTATGACGATGGTAGCGCCTCGTCTGCCGATGAAGCCGACGAGAACATGGACACGTACGAGGACCGAGAGGAACGCATTTATCGTGAGATAGAGCTACAACCGTTAGATGAGCAGGATGCGGTTAAAAGCCCGGCTCCAGAAACGGAAAATGAGTCCGTAATGCCAGCGAAGCCGCAACCGGAAATAGCAACGGATTCGGTTCCGGAGCCCGAGGGCCCGCCAATGGAGACACAAAGTGAGGCACAGGAAGAGCAACCTCGATCAGAAATGCAAACAGTAGAGCCACAGGAAACAGCAAGAACCGCATTGGAGGAACAAGCAGTTCTTGAGACACCAAGCGATTCGGAAATATATTCAGGAGAGCCGGCAGACATGGCCCAACAGTCAGAGTCTGATCAAGAAAAACAACCAAATCAGATGGAGTTGCCAGAAGAATCACAAATGCCAAGCGAGGCCGAGTCTCAACCCCACCTACACAGTGAAGCAGCTTTCAATTTTGTCATCACTAGTGTCTGCAGTCAGGCAGAGCAGCAGCCATTGGCAGCTAACGACGAGCAGTTTGAAGACATCCACCCGGAACCATCTCAGTTTGCTCAGTTTGATGGCGGAATAAGTGAGGAGAAAAACACATCTCCAGTTGTGACCCTAAGCGCGCCCAAGGATAGCGAAACACTAGCCCAGCCAGTCTACGCGAGCTCCTCGAACTACAATTGTGCTGAGGAGCAACAGAATATACTTAACCATGAGCTGTCCGCCACTGTGCAGGCGGCACATCATGAGGCGGAATCGGAATCAGATCCCTCGACCGCAGCAGTTTGCATTGAGGCGCTTGCGGAAGATGTTCACAGCGCCAACGAAGAGACTGAGAACCGCATCAATGAGCAGCAGCAACAACAGCTGGAGCAAGTGCAACAGGAGCCGCTGCAACAGCAACCGCCACGTTTGGCACTCGATGATGATTTGAATATCAATGAAATAGCCGAGAATAATAACAATGCCAACATTGAACGGGAGCTCAACGACGATGCAAATGTGGCTCAGGAAAACCCAATGGAATAAGCTAAATTCTAATTCCTAACTAAATTTAAGCATACACTTACGTTCGCTTATATAGTCGCCATAAACTCACTTTGTACATATATAATACACGTATTTCATACAGAATCCTTAACTTAGTCGCATAATACTCGTATATACAATATATACGTTACCAAAATTCGAATAATTTAATGCATGTAAAGTGAAAATTAGTTTAAGTTAGATATACACAACTTTATTTACGTTAATTACATAAATTAATGGCTTATATAATACAATATAGAATACATAATATATATACATATATATATATATATATATATATATGTATGTATAATTACTATATATATTTAAATATAGAATATATGTACGTAGTTGTACTTATTTAAATACACACAATTCGCACATAATTCATTAGACTCGACCATGCATTACTTAATACAGCTTGACCCTCGACCTTTCACGTATTTTTTCCAAAACAAGAACAAAAACAAACCAAAAATATATTAACTAATTTCAACATATATGTGAAATGTCTAATGAAATGACTACATTTATGTGCATTTAATGCACTTTAACTAAAAGCATTAATACTTGGAATCAGTTTAGTTAGTAGATTAAAATTCCCATAGTTTTGGGTTAGACAAACAAGAATGTCAAAACAACTGGGGATTAGTTTCTTTCAAAGAAGTTTTAGGAAGCATTATGGTCTGGTTATATAAGGTATATTTCAACGATATACCATTAGTATATTTTTATTACTAATTTAAACAATTTAGCTAATTATTATTTTAAATTTTGAGCGAAAACTCTAATATTATTATTAATTGATTTGCAAATTTCGATTAGTCAGTAATGGGGCGCAATTGCTAAGGTTATGTTCAATCATTAATATATTAATTAGTTTGGGTTTTAAATTTGTCAAAACATACATATACATACATTCACATTAACATTCACAATTATATTATCGGATATAGAAAAAACCTCAGTCGTCATACTTTTCCTAGGATCATGCATCGGTAAAATTATCCCCATATAAATCTAATTGGGACTCGATGAATTTGTTAATTTAGACAAAGTTTCACAAAATATATCTTAGGTCTTATTTACAGACTTTTCTAAGTAGTTGTTGTTGTTGTGTGTTTTTTTTTAACAGGGGAATTTTTATAGTTTCTTCATTTTTGGCACATTTCTGAACAAGTTAAGCATATACAGATATACATATATTTTAGACTTATTGCTGTGGATACATATTCATATGTATGTACATAAATATTGTTGTTTTCTTTATTTATTTTATTATTATTATTATTTTTTTTTTTTTTTTTTTGATTATGAATTCGTTATCTTTGAGCAATTGAAGGTAAAGATATGCATATGTGAATTTGAAAAGAATGTTAAAAATGCTTTCATATGCGATCATAAATATTTTCGTGTTTTTTCTCTCTTCGTTTAAAACTTGGTTTTTGTTTTAACAGTTTAAAAAAAAATTAAATTAAGGAGGTATGAAAAATTCACTAAACAGTATTTACAGTGATTCATCCATCGATGAATCAAAATGCCGAAGCACAAATTAAATTATTGCTTATATTTGGAATAAATTGTTTGCCATCAACCGTCATCAATCTAATCGGACCAATCGTTATCTGAGGAGGTATTATCCTCCTCATCGTCTGAATGCATGACAGTGCCACGTGCCGCCAGTGCACGACGTAACGCATCGGCCAGGGCATCGGTGCCACCGGAGCTACCGTCACTAATCCGCTGATCAGGAATCTTACGTTCAGTCACCGGCTTCAAGGCGTAACCCTCACGTATTTGACCCAAAAGGTCGTTGCGTGGATCGCTGGTGTTGGCGGCTGGAGCATTTGGCTTCACTGTCTGCAATGTTCCAATGATGGATATTTAGACTGTACTCTGGAAATATCTATGGTGCACTCACCTTAAGCGCTGTACCCTTGCGTATGGCATCCATAAGCGCATTGCGGTTGTCTGTTTCAGGAGCAGGTGGCGCCACTTTTCCGGCCTGTGCCGATGTCTGCGTAGAAGCAATAATCGGCATTTCCGGTGGAGCCATGGGTGGTGGTGGCGGAGGCGGCGGTGGCGCAGCCACTGGAGGTGCTGGGGGTGGTGGTGGTGGCGGCTACAAGGAAATAGCAACAGCTTTAATTGCGAAAATACGATTTTACTTAATTGACTTACTGCTGCTGCGGGTGGGCAGACCGTTGCTGGTGGTGGTGGTGGCGGAGGAGCCGTTGTAATGGGTGGCGGTCTGCTGGGCGGCGGCGGTGCACGTGATGCACCTGGAACCGTCGTTGGTAACGGCGGTGGCGGCTGCCGCGCCGGTGGCGGAGGCGGCGCTGATCTTTGGTTACCATTCTGCGACTGCAACAGAATATAACGAAAAGAGTTTAGTTTGAAATCAAACACAATTTGGGCCAGGCAGTACAACATACATGATGAGGATGATGACGACTGGGCACCGGTGGCGGCTCTGTGGGCGTTGGTTCTGTAGGCGATTCAGTCTCCTCCTGTTTGACCGAGGCCAGCACATTATTGCTCTGAATGAAATCGTAGATGAACGCGCGCGTATCTCGGTCGTTCAGTTGGGATTCGGAGACGCCCGCCTTGGCAAAGAACTTGACCAACATCTCGTCGCTCTCATGGCCTGTCAGATCGAAACCCTTGTCCGCATCCCAGCCAACGTGGCTGATGTGCACAAAGTTTGTCGGCTGACTAATATCCGCTTTGGTCACGCGACGCTTCTTATCCTTGCCTCCCGACCCACTCAGTCCAAAATTGCTCGACAAAAAGTTTTTGGTTGGCGCATGCGCTGGTGCCGGCGCCGCGGTCAGCGTCACCGAGCTGATCTTATTGTTGCGCAGCTGCACGGGACCGCTGTCCACTGTAGTCGACGCCGTCGTCTGCATTGGGCTTCTGCCCTGCATGGAAGGCTGACGAGCTGTCTGGATGGAGGATGGCATTGGAGCATGTGGCGCCTGCTGCGGCTTTTGCCTGTTCCGCTTCTCCTGCCGTTTCCGATTCCGCGTCTCTATTGTGGTGTCTATGGTGCGAAAGAACGAATCACACTCATCCTCCGAGATGAAGTTTAAGCCCACATTGCCATCCTACCAGCACGTGGAATGATACATTAATTTGAATTCATGTGAGCTCACGTGGACTACTTACGCTGCCCTCGAAGGTGAGCAAAAAGGGACGTGATTTGACAACCTGCATGCCATCGTATATCTCATGCTCCCAAATCAGTTCATTTTTAATCAGGCAGTAGGCGCGCAAAAAGTAGGAGCGTATGGCGCTATCCTTGACGAAGCAAATGACGCCCGTATGCCTCTTCTTCCAGTGTGAGTGAGCATTGCCCTCCGTCTTGTAGATCTGCACAACGGCAGTGTTCAACGTCTGCAAAGATGTGGCAATGGATTAGCATATGTTTGACTACCAAGTTTATACATTAGGGCAGTCCCCAACTCCCCCACACCTAACCAAAAAAAATAAAAATAAAAACACAGTTGGCCAATCGAGTGGCGAACACACCTTCAGTTTACGCCTCATTTGAATGCAGCGGTCAAAGACTACGAACCGTCGCGTTCGAGTTGAGAAACTCATCTGACTTTCGGTTTCGCGCTCTGCCACTTGCTTTGTCACAGACTTGGTCTTTGGCCATACGCTGCTCATTTGAATACCGATTAGCCACATTCACTAAAACATCAATACATTCACATTAGCATATCAGTCGAGCTAGACAACTGCCTGCAACTGCAACTGGTTGGACTCTTAGGGATGCCCAGCACGTAGCCCCACAAATTGATAGCCGCCATGGACTCCACGGGAGAGACCCGCTGGCCCGCAGCTAGTTTCGTGCGGACTTGCACAACGCGCACTGCGTTGCTCCCTGTCTGTACGCAACGGAAACGATATTTGTGGTGATTTAAGACTGCGTTTTTCTTCATAATTTCCTTTTTTATTGGCTGCGCAGGAAATGGTGGCGACAACGGCCACAAAACTGCCACATATAACAATCCTTGCCAAAAGTAAACTTGCAAAAGAAACAAATGCGTGCCATTGTCATCTGATCATTAAATCAACAAAACTTTCAACAATTTCTAAACAGCAAACAATGGATCTTAAATATGCTGATGAGAAGTCAATGGGAGGAAAGCGGCCAAAAGTGATTTCTTTTTGTTTGTTATGCCATTTCAGCTGAGAGAAATAAAAGATAAGAATTTACAGAAGTTTCTTGATGTCATCTATAGCAAAATGATTAACTTCGCCGTGTAAATCACTTGCAAAAAAATACTGTTCTCAAATTCTAAAAAAAAGTAGCCCAATGTATTCAATATCATGTTATTGTGTTGTTAGAAACAGTCGCACTGCTAACTAACTACGAATTGTGTATCGTAACAGTGAGACAACAGCATACTGTTATGTTAAATTTGCTTTATTCAAGTTAAGCAGTTAACCGGTTTGTTCTTTTTGAATTCCTTAATGAACATTTACACTTATATATGATGAAGAATTCTAAGTATATTAAGAATTTGAAGACTGAACGTAGCAACTTATGAATGATAACTGCATTACGTTAGACATCTGTTTGAAGCTACATATGCTAAACAGCTGCAATGAGGTGTTCCTCCTGCATTCTGCAATGCAATGTGGTTACCAATCTATGTACATATATACCGCACAAATATTTATACCCTATAAATATTTAGTAATATTGATAATTCAATGGAGTTATCGAACTAAATGCAGACTCAAAGAGTAGAAATTTGTAACAAAATTGCAAATTGGTTTGTGCGTTGTTGGCCTTGGCCACAACACTTGACATTTGGCCAAAAATGTTTTAGCCCTGACCGAACCATGTTTGGCTCAAATTGATGGCACCTATGCCATGGGCACCTCGAATCAGAGTGCTCTGTGTTAGTTGTAGCCAGGGTGCATCTAAATGTGATATAATATGTGTTACATTGGCAGCTAATGCGACAGATAAACAACTGCTATATTTCTCTTTTCCTCTCTCTCTCTCTCTCTTTTGTCTCTTTCTGTGACCTCTTAAGATGAAAAGAGATGTTGACGTTGATGTGTGTGTTGCCCACGCGGCGCCAAGTGCGAAATTGTGAACATATTTGAATTTTTATAGATGTTTAAGCACAACTGTAAATGTGTGTGTTTCTGAGTGTGACTATGTGTGTGGACATAAGTAGCATTGTAAAATGATGTCTTGCCTTCTATGTGCATACTACATGAGACAAGCTTTGCCGTTTGTTGTTGTTGTTGCGTTTGTTGTCAAAAGCATAAAAATCGATGGCAACAATAACAAAAATAACTGGCCGTCACAGCGCAGCTTAGCTAAGCCGCTGCGCGTGTGTGTATACATGTGTATATGAGAGAGAGTGAGAGAGGCAGAGCGAAGAGGGCAAGGGAGCAATGGAGCGCATTAAAAGCCCAGCTAAATAGCAACAACAAAAACAACAACAACAGCAACGAGAGCAGCAGCGTCTGCAAAACGGCAAGAGCAACACGAAACCAGACAAAAGGCAAAACAGCAATTAGAAAGTCCAGTTGCCACCAGTGGTCACTGTTGGCCAATGTACAGTAATATGCGTGAACTAAGTTTATACAAAATAAATGCAAACAAATGAGTGACAAATGGACTGCATCAACAGCGATAACAGTAGGCTGTGAGGTAATTCTGTTAGGCCATACGCTGAGATCGCAGTCGACATCGTTGCGCGTTGCAGCTGCAGTCGTAGCTGTGTCATTAACCACAACAACTTTTGCGGGCAGGTCAATGGGGGCGTGGTTTACATTGATTTATTTTTATACTATTGCCGTTGAGTATATTGTACAGGGTATGCCTAAAAAGGTCAATCAAAAAATCTGAATTAGTCTATTGATCCTTATATCAAGAACTATGAACTAGTTCTCAGCATTTCAATGCGTTACAAATATTCATACTTATCGATTTGGCAGAAGTCATCGATAAGTGTATATAAAAGGATTATCTTATGCATTTTCAATGCTATTTATTTAATGTTATCAATTTTTTTATTGCAGAGTATCAGGTTTCTCTTCCACTCCGTCAATCCTACATGGCTTAACATGTTTCTGTTATTGTTGTTGCCAGCGGAAAGCAAAAGTTCAAAAACATTTGAAATGTTTGTCAATGGAAAGTCGAAAATTAGCAAAGCGTGAATTACAATTAAAAACATACACAACTACTTTTACATATCGTGTAAGCATTTCAATTAAATACGGATCGCATGGTCTCTAGAGTAATTATTAGTAGTTTTCTACTGCCATATTTTCAAGTGTTCTTTGAGGCCCCAAAGTTGGTTATCTTCACTTTTTCATTTCTTGGCATTGAGTATGGAATCTGATAAGATAAGTCTACCCACTATTTGTTCTATATTGAATTTATCAATTGCAAATGCTTATCAAGTCTCTCATTACCCTAGGAATATGTGTTTGTATGTGTGTGTTCTACGATTTTAACGGATTTTGGTGCAAAAAAAAAAAAAAAAAAAATAAGGCTTTGTCAATATGTCAAAAATTACGAATGGCCGATTCATTATTGACTTAAAGAGCCCAAGCAATCGGGCTGATAGCGGGCTTTTAAAGGTCTACAATAACATTTATAAATATTCCATGCCAAATATTTCGAATGACACAAAAACCAAGAGGCAAACGCTGTGCACATACATATATATCTAATATTACCAAGGTTCCGTCCGTTTCGTCGCATTTAATTGGCACAGCGCATTTGGTTATTTGGGTGTTACTTGAGCTGCCACCCGCAGGAAATGCTTAATCAAGCTGCATATGAAATAATGCAAAGTGAAGCCTCAATATAGTGGAAAACATATAGGCCATCTATGCATCGTATATTAAAATATATAAAATATTATTATATATGTATAATATTTGCATGATTATTCAACCAATCGTTTATTCCTATATAGCAAAATATATATATTGTATTTATAATATAGGTCTTTTTTTCAGATTGAGATATTTATAGCTTTTTATTGCTTATTATGTTTTTTTTATGACAATATTCAATAGTTTTTGCATGATTACATCACTGTACAGTGCAGCTACGTTATGAGAAACCAACAAATTGTTAACAACAAAATTATAACAATCTAAAACTGCTTTGTCATAAATATTTTTACAGATTTTCTCTTATATTAAATGAAATGTAAAATCGACCACTTATCACGAGGAGGGCCCACTGTAGCTATTTATGTATGTGTGCGTGACGCACTACAATGTGGACGAGGTGACGATCGGCAAGGGTCGTCGAGTTTCGAGCATTAATCACAGCAAATAATGTGTGAATGTCCCACATGCATATATCTATGATCTACATAGGTTCGATATACGGACATCATACTTGACACTTGACTCACCTGACACTTTCTACCCAACAGCCGGAATACGGCTTCGTTCTCCTCCTGGGTCAGTTGACTACTGGACGCATTGTTTTTGGGCCGCGACAGCCCGGCTGCCTGCTGACCCTGCGGCTCCTGTGACCTCATACTGCTCGTACTAATCATTTAGGCGGCGGCGCAACGGCTGTGCTGTATATATTGTATATTATGAATACATTTATTAAAAAACAGCAACTCGATAACTCGCGCAGTAACGGTAAAACGAGACAAGCGTATTAATTGAATAAGCACCAAACACACACAGTGAACCTCAAATAAAACGAATCACAGTTATGGCGAATATGTGCTCAACTGGATTTATTGAAAACTTTTTTTTTTTTTTTTGCTTTTTTGCTTTTCTTCAATATTTGAATAAAAGACGCAGCAACAGCGGCGCAGCGATGGCAGAGACTAAAGACTATTGTAATACTTGAGCTCTGCCAGAGGCCAGAGGCAGAGGTAGGGCAGAGGCAACGGCAGCGACAGTTAACGCCAATGTTGAGTCACAGTTGGCCAGCTGTGTACAAAACGTGGGCAAAGGCGCTTGCTCTGTCGCTGACTTCAATATTAGCTGAATGCGCTCTGGCTGTTATCTTTGGCAATACCACAGTCACTGATTAGGCTACGCATGTATCTATGTTTGTGTGTATGTGTGTGTTGGTAGTTATTTAACAAATACAAAAATGGGTTCACGTTAGGCATGCAATAAAACGCGACGCTGCGCTGCCAACTGAAGATGTCAATGACAATATCGATGACAACAGCAGCATCAACACCACCACAGACAACACAGCAACAACAACAACACCTGTCTGCTCCAGGTGGGGTAGCAATGTAAATAGACGCTTGAAAATCTAGCAGACAGCAGCCCTAACTAACTGTGCACACCCGTGTCTCAAGGTCTTTTAGCACTCAAGCTGCATATTGCGCACATAAACAATCATTGATTTTTTTTATTTTTTACACATATTCTTGTTTGTCACTTTAGCTCACTCGTTGCTATTGCTGCTTTTCGCTGCCTTTGGTTGGCTTGTTTTTTTATTTTAATAAAATATCTTAAAATACCAGCACAGTGTGACCGCAGAATGAAAATAGCAAATTGCAGAAATTAGAGTTGCCTGAGCTGTGTATGCAGCAATCGCTATCGATGAGCCCATGCAAAAGAGTCCCAGGCCGTCAATAAGAAAATCGATATTCCGCCGTGCAACCGCAACCGTTATTTTGAGCCAAATATTTGAAATTTTTCTGTTAATTATTTAATACTTTTAATCATTTACAAATGCATTTTCGCATGCAGTCTGTTTATATCAATTATGCTTATTGTTTGAATCTTATTTAAAAAAAAAATCGGTAGAATATTTGTCACCATATTACAGGGTATCAAAGTTGCCAGAGAGTAGGATAACATGACCAATATACCCTTTATGTAGACCTCTTCCCCAATAGGTTTATGCCGAATTGCAAACATAATAATTTTTGTTTTGTCGAAAAGCATTTCGTTTTTATTAATATATATGTGTATATATATGTTTAATAAGAATTGTAAATGGGCTTAAATCAAAGCTAACTACAAATCGCCAAGTTCTCGGGTTCAATACGAAATCGTCCAAATCCGAATGCAAATACGCTTAATCCGACTAAAGACTTTAAAATTATGTTTAAAATATAAAAGCAGTGACTATCAATGTGTTAAGTTAATCATTCTCAAAGTAATATTTGGTTTGCAAAAAGGAAGCCGACGGCTAAATACGCTAAGTGTATATAAATTGTTTTTTTTTTTTTTTCGTATCTTTGATTATAATTTGTAGAGCGTTTTGATTAACAAGTCGTAACATACATATAAACCTTATATAACCGCTTTAAATTAGCTTGGTTACAACTTGAATTTCGTATATATATTGATATATATCTTTAGTAAGTAGTTATATAGGGTATATGGTTGTACACACTTGAGAAGGCCCGAGATAATATCTAGATTAATATTATTATGCAATACATTTGGCTACATACGAACTTGGAGCCGAATTCAAGACGCTCTTCGTTTCTGACTGTGAATTGGATTAGGTTGTTTCTAGGCCTAACAAATCTAGCATAGGATATATATAGTTATAAATATATATATACTCTATATATATATATACTCTATAGGTATATAATAAACTTTCTTTGATTCTGTTTCCATATGAAAATGCAAGACGGGATTCGCTTTGTGCGTTCGTTTCTATTTGCGCACTCCTCCAATGGGCAGCCGGGAGCGGGCAGCTGCTGCAGTTGCTCCAGATGCTTGATTCCCGACTGCCGCTGCATCCGGCGGCGTATTGTCGAACGTGGAGCTGCGCAAGAGCGTGGGCCGCGACGCATTGCCGTTCAGCGTATTGGAAGACTTCGTTTGTTGCGTCCTCAGATTGGATATTTGCTTGGTTTTTGTCGTCTTGGTTTTGGCCTCATCCACCCGCTTCCAGATATTGGCAATGCGACTCTGCGCCTGGTTAATTTTGACGGCCGCCGCCGACGCCGCTGCCACGGCGGCACTGCCGCCATTCAAATTCGAATTGCTTCGCGAGGGCGGAGTCGTGCTGGATATTCGGTTCGCTTGGGCGGCCACGCGGGAGGCAGCCGCTGCCTTGGCACTGGCCAGGCGTATATTGGTATTGGCACGTTGTTGCGGTTTCTGTTGTGGCGGCAGCACGCGAGGCGCTGCTTTGGCTATGATCCGTTTGGGTGAGGCTGCCTTCGCTACGGTCTTTGTTGTTGCTGCTGCTGCTGTTGTTGGCCGCTTTGTGGGCAGCTTGGAGGCGCGTTGCGTGGGACTTACTGGCTCCACGACAGGCACCTGTCCATTAACATTAGTGGGCTCATCCTTGACAAAGGTGCCCTGCCGCTCCAGACGCGGGGCTGCCGGTGGCGGAGTTGCCTTCTTCTTGGCCGGCAGCCGCGTGCTAGGCAGTGCATTGCGCTTAGCTATGGTTGGCGATAGCGTCTTCGTCTTGGCCTTGGCAGCCGCAGCGCAGGCAGCAGCGGCTGCACTGCTGTTACGCTGACTCTGCATGCTGTAGGGCGAGATGTAGGCAGGCTTCTTGCGTCCCCGCACCACCTTGACAGCAGCTGCAGGCTCCAGGACAGGCGGCTGTGGCGGCGGAGTCGTACGCTTCAGCGGGAGCTCTTTGGCCACTGGCGGCGACTGGCCGCGTCCATGACACGATTCCGTTTCGGAGTTTTGATCGCCGTCACAGCTGGGCGGATCATCAGCCGGAGCGTGCGTCTCGGGTGCTTCGCTTGAGTTTCCAATGTCAATGTCTGTGATGTAGGTGAACTGCTGCATCATGGCGCGCATGGAGGACAGCTGATCGCTGGGGCAATCATCCTGCAGCAGGTGGAGCGGGCATTCGATGACCTGCGTCTTGTAGCGTTCGGCACTGCCACGTCGTCGTCCATTGGCACGGGGCGATGGCGTCGCTGGGGCCACTGCAGCAGGCACAGCCTCCACAATCTCAATCTGCAGCGTTTCATTGGGCTCCACAATGTCCATGGCGTTGCCCGTGATGGTGTAAGTCTTGTAACGATCCTTGGCCAGACGACGCTTCTGCTTGGGCGTGAGAGTGCGACGATTCGGCGAAGGCGTCGAGCCCTGCTTGGGAGTTGACTCCGCGGAGCTAAAGTCCTCGTTCATGGTGGCGTCCTCCTCGTCATCGAAGTCACAGCAGCTCTGGAGCACAGTCAGTGTCTGATCGTCACCAGCGGCTGTCTCGTAATTGGACACCGATATGGTGGTTGCCATGCTGCACTCCTGCTCAGCGTCCGCCACCTCCGACTGGATACTGTCCACGCTGATCATCGAATCGAGCAGCTCGTCCATAAGCGACGGCGGCTTTATGTTGTCCAGCAAATTGCAGCTGGAGTTCACGCTCTCGGCACTGCCCGCCAACTGGCCAAGCGCACGTCTGGCCACCAGACCGGCTGGAAATGCCTTGCGTCCAAATCTTGGCGATTTGGTTGGCAGGGCCAGGCGCAACGAGCTCGGCTGCGTATTGCAGGCAGAGTTCAGCGACTCCATGCCCGATGGTGGACGCACATTGTCTAGATCCAGGCTGCCATTGATGCTGAATGTCAACTGGGTGCTGTCATCGTTGTGCTCATTGCTATCGGGATCGGACGCCTGCAGCTGCTGCAGATTGTCGGCCAGAGCTCGCGCCTCGTACGCAATCATTGTGGAGTTGGTCATCATGGAGGCGCTGGTGCCGTTGAACAGCAGCAGCCTCTGCTGCTGCTCGCAGCTGCGCGCTGCAGCGCTCTGCACCTGCCCGCCCAGCTGAAAGTTGAGGCCGGACGACAGACTCTGCTGACTCTGCTCGGGCTGCTCGGTGAGCGTGTCACTCAGACTGTGACTATCCAGGGAGTTGGGCTGCTGGAAGTTGGTATCACCATTAACCACACCCAATGAGCACAGCAGTTGCGTCTCATTGGTGGGCGTGATTTCGGCAAAATCATGCAAATCCTGCGCCTCTGTAGCATCCGCATCCATATCGTCCACATCAGCATCATCCAAGCTGAGCGTACCCAACACAGGCGCCGTTTGGCTAATGCTCGGGAAGGACACATCATTGGGACAGGTGTGCTCGTTCCAGGTGTTGCCCTGACTGTGACTGTGACTGTGACTATGACTCTGACTCTGACTCTGACTGGGATTGTGATTGCCCGTGCGCAATTGCTCCGCGGATGTCACAAACTCCAATGTGAGACGCTCCACAGATTTGAGCATCAGGTCGGGATCCTTGTGCTTGTCCGCCGTTCGTGGCCGGCTCTCATCCGGGATCTCATCCAGCCGCACTGTGGTGTCCAGTATCAACGACTGATTCGACTCATCGCTGGAACGATCCGCATCGTTATCCCCCAGGACTATTTTAGACCCAGTAACGATCGCGTGATCGATCGTGTTCACGATCTCTGGACTTGGAGCTGGACTTTTTGCTGCGTCTGTGTCGATGTCGATGCCGTGCCTGGGTGACTGATGGCTCTGCTGGCTGACCGGTTGACTGTTGTGACGGGTTGATGGTGCGTGCGATTTCTGCTCTACGTCTGGAGCTGCTGCTGCTGCTGCTGTGCTGTGGACACTTGCTGATGTAGTAGCCGCCATTGGGTGACACGGTTCCAATGCAGCTGCAGACGTAGCCTGCCCGTTTTTTGGCACGGCATTTATTTTCTTCGAGATGCCCGTATTGATGCACTCCAGCAGCAATTTCTCATCCTTGCGCTCGCGCTCTCGCTCCCGCTGATGCTGCTGATGATGGTGGTGATGATGACGCTGCCGCTTCGACTGCACTGGCAATTGCACGGGCAGCGAATCAAATTGCTTCAGATTGGGATTTGAGTGTGCCGCTGATTGCTGCTGCTGCTGCTGCTGCTGTAGCTGCTGCGATCTGCTCGGCTCCTTGGATTTGTACATGCCATTCAAAATGCACAGCTCGAAGAGCGACTTGGACTGATTGTCATTCGAGTCGCTGGAGTCCACCGAGCTGTAGGATTCCTGTTGCACCGTCTTGCGCGCGCTCATTGCCGAATTCAAGGAGCACGCCGAGGTGGCCGCATTGATGGCTATGGGCTGAGACGAGGAGCACAGCGAGCTGGAGCGTTTGCTGCTCGTTGCGCTCGTGCCGCTGAAGCCCAGATTCGACTTGGGTCTATTGCAGCCGGCGGCAATAGCCTGCTTGAAAACAAAACGGATTAGCGCACATAATTAATATGATATTCCATTGCGCTCACCTGACTCAGCAAATTGGTGTCATCCTCGGAGTCAATGGACAAGGAGCTCAACGAATCGTCCTGCCACTGCGCCGGTCGATTGACTTGCTCCTGGGCTGGCGCCTGGCTCTCTGACTTCACGGCAGATGCATCGGCACTGCTGAAAAGGATATATTCACATTTGTTACTCATTTGACATCACCTCATGGGCATCTGAGCAACTCTGATCCTGAGCTATAGATCAGCATTACAATCATACTTCACCCACGCTTACCCAATTGTTTCCTGCAGCTGCACCGCAG